AGAGAGACAGAGAAAAGGAGTTAATTTAAAATATTACTTCTTTAGAAAAGATAAGAAGAATCTTTCGGTCCTCTCTAATGTCTTGATCCTATCAAATTTTTCCAACATCATGGGAGTTACTCCTCATTTATTTTTGGCACATCAGTCTCCTGATACGTAGTGAACTAGAACTGGATCACTGCATTTTTATCTAAATTTATCAGGCACTTTTAAATCCGTCATGTTACTGCTGCCTGTGAAAAGAGACACTGAAATTTTATCTGGAAACCAAAAAGGATTTGGAAAGCTAAAAAAAGGAAAGACTTTGCATGATGAAATAAATACTGATGAAATAAATAAAGCCTTTGTGACTCAGTCAATTTATGTGAACACTTGTACGTATGCTTGTTTTCTATATGTATACAGCAATATTACTGAGAATTTGCAAATGCAGGTGCCAAAAGAGAGAGAAGTTAGAATACCCACATATCAACAAATTGCAAAGGCAACCAGATCAATGTTAAAACACTCGGGTATGTTTCTGAAGGCTTTGAGCCTGTATGTGAGTTACTAAAGTTTGGGATCTTAACAAGCTTTGAAGCCTAGCCATCCTAGAAGAAAAATAAAGCTTTATGCCTATCACAAAAGCCCAGAAGAACAATATGGCATGATATTTAAAGTAATTTGATTTCACAGTTTAAGTACACTGGAGATTCCAAGAACCCTTTAATCAGCTGTAGGTATGCTATGTGAAGTGCCTTTCCATGTGTAAGTGTTGTGTTGTGTTCTTCCAAAGTCCTCCTCTATTATATAGAGAGGTTGTGGATCATGCCTTCTGCAAATATCTGCCTCTTATATCTCCCCTTCTCTCTGTCTCTCTCTTTCTCATACTTAAAACAGCAAGTCCACCCCTTGCGGATCTGAGTCTTCTATGTGATAACAAGATATGACAATTACTGTAACTGCTCTCTTTATTAGAAATTAAGTGACTTGAGTGACGAGATGATTATGTGTTAGACAGAAAATGTTCTTGATCCTTATTTTAACAGATTGGGTTGGTTTTGCCTGTCCTCAGTAAAAAGCAAGTGACCAGTAAGATGTACATTGGTGTGGAGGTTAACATAGTCTAAAAACAGGATGAGGGTTACCATTGTGTGGAGATCAATGAAATATCTCCCTAATTTGGTCTCCTGCTGTTTGCTCTCAGTCTGCACTAACCAGCTGAGCTGAGCTGTACAGTCAACATCTTTTCCTTCTTTCTGCATCGAAAGCCCTCTCACAGAGAAGGCTTTCAGTCTTGATGAGCTCTGAAAATAGAGCAGTACCACACAGGAGGATTTTCTTTGACTTTGGAGTCTTTTCAAGAGGTGATGAATTAATGAAAATATTAACCTACACTGTCCTTCATTTAAGTTAGCTCCTGTTTCATTTATATGCAGGCCTTGTGAACTAGCTGGTTTCAGCGGGACCATGGGGTAAACTGAAAGGCATCAATAGATGTTATTTTGAAACACAAAGGACTTCATTTGTTCAAGCAGCAGTTGAGTAACTACAGTTGTTAACTGCAAAGAATTATGTCATTTTATGGAGATGTATGTAAGTGTTCCCCACTCAGACTTCTATTCATACAGACAACTTGGGCAAATACAGACCTTTTTTTTTTTCCTGTTGTCTTTGGAATCTGAATGGGGGTTTAGGGGAAGGTGGGGGTTTTTATTTTTGCTATTTTTTCTTTATGGAGCACTTGAGGAACAGGAAAAACACAATGGAAAGCTACAAAGGATCATTTGATGAAAGCTAACCTATCTTTGGGTAAACTCAGGAATAAAAAAATCAGGAATATAAGCTAAATAAAGCTGCACTGTGCTTTATAATCATATCTCTCAGTTGAATTATGAAGCGATGAAGGAGAAGTATGCTTATATATAATTCTGATGGCTTGGTTACAGCATATAAACTAGCCTTTTTAGAGCAGATGCTAGAGGCAGCTGGAAGGTAGCAGCCAAGCTGAGGTCCCTAGCTCAGACTGGACCCTTAGCAGCAGCGTGCCAGGCGCTTACCACATTCTGTGGCAAGATGATGCATCACTTTGGTGACTGATGAACTCCGAGGTTTCCAGCAGAATTCAGGATTGAAAGTTCAGAGGAGAACATGGGCTAGAGCTGCAGGTTATTAACTTTCCAGACTATGGACCATGAGCAACTTCAAGGACAACTGTGTGCCTTTAAAAACAGGCTTTTAATGCAAAACAGTGGAAAATGGGTTGTCTTAGCTAGAATTATTTCTATAAAACAGGGAAAGGATTATTTTCTTTGATATAATGCCACTGATCACTGGTGGGGAATGTGTGCTTTACTGAAGGAGGTTTGGAAATTCTGGGTTTAAAGCAGTAAGCAGGACTAGGAATTGGGGAACACATGTAAACCAGTCTTTCTCTGTTTACTGTTTAAGTAAATCCCTCAGCCTCCCTGCCTCTGTTTTCCCAGCTGTGTGTATTATGAAAGGCAGGTCACCCTGCAGATCTATTTTAAGGATTGGTAGGTGGTTCTGTTAAGGTCTGGCAAGAGATCTGACTAAAGAAAACAGCAAAGAAATACTACGTAGCCATATTTTTTCAGTATAAATTGCAACTACTTGCAATGTTTGGCTAGAGACTAGGACCTCAAAAGCTCACAGAGACATAAGAGCTTCTGTTAAGAGGTTTAAGCATAGGCAGAAGCAGAAGTTGACTTAAATCCACCATTTGCCAGGTGCCACCTAGATCTAAGTCACTCCTCTTGGGTCGTAAATCAGAAAACCACCAAGATGTCACCGTGGCTGCCTATGGACGTCTCCTGCAGATGGGTTGGAAGAGTGCTGGGCTGCTCCACTCACACCCCTTGCACTGGGAAAGGTGATATTAAACTGCTCTCCTTCTCCTGCCTCACTCAGAGACTTTCCACTGGGGGGCTGATGTCGTTCTAGAGAAGCTGCCTTAACTCCTAGGGCGTGAAGGAGAATGAGGGTTTGAAACTGTGGTTTTACAAGTTATCTCTGATCTCGTTAAGAAACCTTAAGCAGCCACGTGTCAGGAACTGTGTTCCCTTATTTACACATGTATTTACATTCTTGCTCAAACCCACAGGCCTGAAGAGCTCTCAGAAACACTTCAGTTAATTGAATATATTGCTAAGTGGGAATGGCAATAGAGTGCCCCACAGCTGAGTACAGGCTTTGGATCAGATTAAAATAATTTACTGTCATGTGAGAGGGAAGAAAAAACCCCACGACACATTAGAATTGTGATTATACTTTGTCTTCTGATCTAATCCCTTCAGAAAGCCAAGGTGTTGGCTGACCGAAGGAGAGCTGGGCACTGGAGGGGATCTCTGCTTATGGCTCATTTGTATGCACATGGCACAACGTTAATTGCACAACTTCAGAAGGAGTTTGAAGTCTGAATACATTTAGAAGTCAGACCCTTTTAGGGGAGGGTTTTGTGATGCCTAGGCCTAGATAGCCAAGCTGGCTAAGGACTGATGTCCTTAGTTCCTTCTGCAGACAACAAGTAGCCACAGGTTCCCGCAGACAGTAATGTTCAGATCCTATTTTAGCAGCCCCCTTGACTGTTTGCAAGGTGTAAAGCTGATTATATTTCTCAGTTGGCTCACATGTGGTGCTCAGTAGCTACATTAATTTTTATGACTTTGTATGGTCTGTTCAACTTGCTTTTATTTGCATTAGAAACATCTCTGGTCATTCAAGAAGGAGAGGGACCGTCCTAGCATGCTCATAACCAGCTGGTCAAAATGGAGAGAGATAACACAGCTGCCATTTTTATGTACATTTACAACAAAACTTTGTGTGGACAGCTGCTTAAAAAGATAATCTAGTAATTAAGCTCTGTTACTTCAAACAATTAACCAGAGCTTCTTGAGTTGGCATCTGGAAGTGGTTTTTGGGAGGGATCTGAAGGGCAAATGTTAGAAATGGGGCAATCCTCATTAGCAGATTGCAAGGGATAGAGGTGCCACTGAGTGTTCTGCTTACTGCAGCCACCCCAGCAGGAGGGAAACGGGGACAGAAAGGCCTGTCTACATTTATTTAGCACATGTAGCCCTGCTGAGTCTTCTCAGGTCTCCAAGGCTGTAATTCAGGTTCTATTTTGCACAGCCGTTCTGCAAGAGCTCCATTTGTTTGTGCTCTGTCTGCGACCTGATGGGATAACCCTGAAAGTAAACAAGTAGTAAGTACTGGTCCAGCCCTCAGCCACAGTAAGTCACTTTTTCATAGCAAGTCACGGAGCCACTGCTGGCGAATTTCAACCAGCAGAACGCTGTGTGTTTGCATCTTGAAGAGAAAATATGCATCCTTAGTGTAGGGAGAGAACAAAATTCAGGCATTCGAACACATAGGCTGCTTTGCCCCTGATACAGGCACAAGTCTGGCCATGGGTGGTCAATCATTGGAAAATGGACCTAGAATGCAGGATCTGGAAAAGGTGTCTGGAGGGAGAGGTTAGCATCTAGCTGGCTGCTCTGAATGCATGCTGAGTGCTGGAAGGTGGATTCACCAGTAGGCAAGAAAGTGTTGTTGGAACTATAAATACAAACAGCTGAAAAACGCATTATCTCCTATCATTCCCCAACAGTTTGAGTCTTTTCACACAACTGAAGATCACTGCACTTTTCTTTTTGGTGCTCTTCCCTTTTCAGTTTTTTGATTACCGAATCATTTGGGATTTATATCATGTTTCTGTTACTGTATTAGCTTCTTTTCACTTTGAAAAAGTTAAAGTCTTCATGGGAGGCAGGAGGATTGTAATCACCCTCACAATAATTCTTATTTCTGTTTTAGTGCTCACTTGAGCTAGTTAAAGCTATAGCGGAAACCTGAAGTCCTAATTGAGTAGACAAGAAGCCAACGAGAGTGTTGTTTATACAGGTCAAGGAAACAATTCTGCTGCATCCCTTAGCTAGCAGATACATTTAAACCAAAGAAGATTCAAGCCTCTCATTTTCAGTGTCACGTGTTTCATCTTTGATTTCTATCAAACATGTTTCGCTTTCGGAGTCTCCTTCTCTGCATATACCCTGCAGTGCGAAGGACACGGAGCTTCTTCATTGGTGCTACAAATGGCCAAAGGCAACAGTTTGTGTTTTTGAACTGACCAAAATAATTTCTCATCTCTCCTCCAAGGTCCATGGGAAGGTTGGCTTCAAGTACAATACATAGAGCTAATATTTATTAAATATTTATTTTTTATTATATTTGATAAATTTTGCCTCTGCTTCTGTTTCTCATTTGACCCCTACAAGACTATGACTTTTTGCCACCTAATTTATTTGTTATGTGAAATTTTGAGTAATTTACTGGGTAATTTCCTCCAGCAATAATATAAGCAGTTCCTTGTTGGTGCTCTATATTAGACATTTCGAAGTGGGCCATTTGCAGTTGGGCTCAGAAATTGAGTATGATAGGTTTCATTTTCCCCAGAAGATGATTGGACCAGGTTTCCAGTGACTTGTTCGCAGCAGCTCTGATGCTGCAAGCCATTGGGATGCTTGAGTTCAATAAGCAGACAAAAAATCTATTTTCCTTAGGAAGATCAATATGCAAGGCACTAGTATTTACCATACTTGCTGCCATGGTCCTGCAAACTTAATAGTATTCCTCCCTGCTTTGGGGACTCTCATACTGATTGAATGAAAAAAATTCTTACACGTTTTAGTCAGTTATGAAGGCTCGGATTCACAAACAAAGGAGATGTCTACAAATACAAGTGTGTATTTGGATTGATGAAGTCATTTGCACACCTTCTAATTATTAGGTGTACAGGAAATTCCATTCAAAGTGTACCTGGAACTCAGGTGCTTGATGTACTGAGCTGTTGCTCAGGGCCAAATTACCCGTCTCAGAACCTCTCCATTTAATGTGCCTCACTGCTCAGTAGTCCCACCAACTGAAAAACTACTTCAAATGAGAAGTTTCTAACAGAACAGTGTTTTCCAGTTTTGGTGCTAGTTTTAGATCTGGTGTTTGGTTTTTGTCCATTCATTTGTTCATTAGTTCATTCATTTTTTACTCCATCCTTTGGTCTGGAAAGGGCTAGTGCATAGCATGCAAACTTGCACTAGTTCCTGCATCCCTAGCTAGCACTAGTAATTAACACTTACAGAAATATTGATGAATTGAGGCTCTTCTGTGATAGAGGAATAAAAGAAACACAACAAACAAAGGGACTTAGGACAAATCTGACTTCATACGTTTACCGAGCAAATTAGCTGCTGCACTGTGTGAAGCACAGAACTGTCCTTAAGGTGCTGTTAATGAGAAGTTCATCACAGCTTGGTTTCTTTGGTGCACTGTTAGGGACCGTGGAGTTAAGTGGAAGTTAAGCAGGACAACTTTGCTCCAGGTTGTTTGAGCCAGCATGAGCTATGTTATTGCTGGTGACCTAAAAATTTGCATGTGCTCAATTTGCAAAGCAGGGCAGCAGTTGGCTTCTTGGATCAGGTTGGCCTAGTAGGATCAGGTTTGCAAGAGGTAATCAAGTGACTTAATGTCTTCTCCTCCTTCTCCCCTCTCCTACTCCCCTTCCCTTCTGTCCCAAAAGCAGTAGGGAATAATGGCAAAGGCTTTCCATGAGCCACCACTGCTATTACACACTTTGACTAAATAGGTCCAGCTCAGCAGGAACGGCTAAGTCACTGGGAAGAACAACCTCCTTCCAGCCTCCTCCCAAGCATACCTTGGATGGTAGCCACGTTTTGCTTCCTCTTTGGAGCACCTTTACCTAAGTAATTTTCTTACCTATTATCAAGGGTGGGATGTGTATTGCAGGTGTATCTTTTCTCCTGGGCTTTTTCTGCTCCAGTTCAGCAATCTGTGAGCCTGGACTCACTCTCTCTCTCTGTGGTCTCTCTGTGATACCATATGTTTTCAGCAGATTATCAGAAAAGTCTGAAAGTATGCCTGCAGACAAGAAAAACATAAAATAAAATGCCACTCGGCCTTGTTCGCATCGAAGAAATTTGCACCTGTGTAACTTTCCCAATGACTACTCTGAAGTAAGGCTGTGTGAGTGGATGATCTGTTCTGGATGGTGTAACTACTCTTCAGGTTTTGGTACACATTTCCTCCAAGTCAATTATATCCCATAAAGGCTATAGACAAGCAATGCTATCAGGCCATCTGTTTTCTGCTTGTACTCAATGGACTGAACTGCAGCTCTTCAGAAATCATGGTAAAGATGAGTGCAGTTTTCTATTCCAGAAGATCAGACATCTTATCAAAGTAGTTTAATCATACAGATACTCCAGCCTCTGCTTGGAGGCAATGTGGCCACACAGAAGTGGCTTATTTTAAGTAGTGAAGCTCTGTTTTCTTTATCATATGGCTACTGTGGGCGCCTGTTCAGCCTCTGAGCCACTCTTACCTAAGAGAGAATTTCTGAGGCGCAGATGAATGTGAGAGCTGAATAGAGTTCATGCCAAGTTCAATGTCTTGAGAACAAATAATGGAAAATCCCGGCTGCTTGGTTTTACTTATTGTAAAGCAGCTAATTCCTCAGCGGCCCACCTTGGTATTCCCAGACCCTGGGAAAAAAATCCCTTCATCTAATAGGGAATGCCTTTGAGAAAGTCAACCTCCTTGTTAGCCTGCCTTCCCATGTGCGTGTGGCATGGCACTGCATTCTTGCACACCTCCAAGGGGATATAAGTGAACAAGGGGGTCTCTGGATCTTTCCACAGATTCAGTTCACTCAGCTGAATAGGGATCTTGAAGTCAAGAGCTGTATTGCTCACCTGTCAGAGGTGGTGGGGTGTGTATAGCTGGTGTATCTTTTCTCCTTGGCTTTTTTTGCTCCTGTTCAGTGTTTTGAGAAGCCTGGATGGTTTTACCTTTTCTTGGTTTCTTTTTGAGGTCACAGCTCTTAATCAGCTGCTCTGAAAGATCCTCTGAAAGGGGGAAAAAAAATGAAAAAAAGAACAGAAATTGAAACTGAGGGGAAATAATAAACCAGATGGTCAAAAGAAAAGCTTTAATAACATTGCCTTCATCCAAGTAGATTGAAATGCCTGTGGAGAAGCATCTCTTAAATAGTCAGTACAAGAAGCCTCTGTGCCGTGCTTCGTGGGAGTCAAGTGACTTAGGTGGTCCTCCTGTGTTGCAGGAGGTAGACATAAAACAGAGGCAGAGAGTTGTGGGCAGCTGTGTGTTACGTGGCAGAGGGAAGGCTGCACCACTGAGTGCAGAGGTCCCATGGCCATCCCTGTTTCATCCAGCACTAACTGTGTGGGCCGTCTTCAACAGTTACAAGGGTACTTTTGTGAAGGAAAGATTTATGTGTGTTGGGTCAGCCTGAGGCATTTGTAAAGTGAGCCGGTATATTGTTCCCTTCAAGAGTTGGCTTTACTTCCAGAGCCACTGAGCAGTCAGTATTCGCTTTTGATTTATGCAACATTACCCTGGATTCTTGGTTTTCTCTTAAAACAAGCCTTGACTCAGATGGTCAGCACAGTTTTTCTGCAGGGATCTGCATTTCTGGGTGCTTATGCAAACTGAAAATATTGAATCCAGCCTGTCATTAGTATCATCATGCAAACCAATACTTTGATTTCTTAAAAGTTCCTTGTTTGGCTTCAGCAGGGTCCCCTACACCCACCCAACCCCTGACTACAGACTTGGGTGCAACAGGGCTTCATTCCAGGCTCTCATACACCATTGGAGGTAGCTGTATGTCTGTGAGCCTGAGGGTAGACATGGGTAGGACAATCTCCAGGTGAAGCCACCAGAAGATGTGGGGTCTTTTTCCAGCCCTCACAGGCTTCCTGCATAGTCCTAATGAGCTCATTTCACTTCCTGCTGCCTCAGTTTCCCAACTATAGAATGGAACATATTTTTTACTGATTTAAGTAAGTAATTTTATGGAACTTTTATGTTTGGTATGCCAGTAGTTGTAAAAGTGATGCCTGTGGCTAGAAACGCTGTGTGGTAGAAACAGAACTAGGATACCTTCCTTGCAGGCCAGATAAACAAAGTTTATAAAATTATGCTTGCCTGCAGTGAGACAGTTTTTTTGACAAGCAAGTGAAGTTGCATTTGTGTTTTGTTATTTTCATCACAAGAGTAACAACGAGCAAAGAGATTTTTATTTCTGGGTTGCTAAATCTTTATGACAATTTTGCAAGGCGGGAGCAAAGTAATAACATTTGAAGCAGAGGCAAAGACCATGAATATGCAAAAAGCACATCTATCAAGCATGAAATCTGGTATTTAGGAGTGTGGTGGAGCAAAGATGCCTCTGGTACTATCAGTGCAAAAGTTATCTATGAGTAAGTTCAAGAGAGGAGACAGATTGGCAATGAAGGAGCAAAAATATTTTGAAAGCCACCCCAGAGGAGCCAAAGGGGGTGTTTCAAAACTTCTACCGAAATTGCATATGCAAAAAGCATTCAGAGAAGGCTCAGCTATATCCTAGCTTTCCGTTTATTATGGTATACATGAAGAAACTGCCTTTACTTTTTCTACCAGGGAAAAGAACAATGACTTTTTCCTTTCTCCTCTTTAATTTACTTTGCTCTAGAGCTTCAGCTGATATTTATATGCAGGAAAAACAGTCTTTGCCTTTCCATCTGGCATCAGAAGTGTCAGCAGAAGGTGTAATCTATCAGGTTTCATGAGAGCTCAGTTGTGTTGCTGGAGGGGAAAAACGGGTACTGGGCAGGACCTAATGATATGAAGACAACACCTCTCTAATTACTGCATGCGATGACATCATCTAATAACACTTACCTAAATGGTTACAGTGTGAATCTCGCTTGTCTGGTCTGTCTTCTGGGATATCAAGTGGCTGAACACATTCTGTTGACATAATGGAAATGGGCTCTTCTCTCCCTTTGAATATTCTACATCAAAAAAAAAGAAAAAAAGAAAAAGTAGCAGCATGACATAAAAGAGACATATTGGTGTTATGTATCCGCTTGCTACTCAGATCATGAGAAGTTCTTGTCTTCCAGCTGCTCTCTGTCATGCAGTCTGCTGGCCTGATTTGCTCACACGTGCTAAGAGAGGCATTTATTCACTGCCTTGGTTACATATGCACTATCCCATTTTTCCTTGATGTAAAAAAATCACACTACCATGGGAAATACATTGGCTCTATAGAATACTGAGTTTCATCAGAAAGTCCTATCACATACACAAAGTAAATGCTAGGAAATAGGGTGTTTTGTTCTGGTTTTCTTCTCCATTTTTTTTCTCAACTCAACTCAACTCAACTGGAGATCATATTTGATGTTTATCATATAAAAAATCAATAGTGGAATAAAGACAGAAGGAATTGAGGAAAAATGGAGGGAGGAAAGGGAGACAGACAAGAAAAGGTAAATAAAAGAGAGAGGTGAAAGAAAAGGCAGTTGGAGAAAAACAGTGAATAGGAGGATAGGAAAATAGAAGACTCTGCTCTGGGAGTTTGTTTTTATCTTGCTGAAAGTAAAGAAGCTGCATATATTATTTCTCTGTATATTGCAGTGGTTGGTTGCCAATAATAAACAGAACATTAGGGGAGTTAACCTCATTTTTATGACTAAACTTGTGTCTATATAAAAAGCAATTAATCCTCAAGCAAAATCCCGTCACATAAATATTTACCAAACAAAATATGAAAGGCCACACTCATAATCATATACTAAGCTAATTCTTCAGGGGATGGAAAAACAGGGGGAGGAGTCCCAAACTCCAGTGACTTCAGAGTAAGCAGAGCAACATTGGTGGGCAGTAATTAAAGGTCATGAACATTGACTCATAATGTACCTATGGTATTAATTCTCATGCCCTTCAGTATTCAAAATTCACAAAAATTTGTAAAATTCTACAGATTCTAAAAGACCTTACTGAATCAGGCCCTTGATAAGGGGTTTGACCTCCATCTGTTCACTGCAGAACCATCCTAGTCCAGCCTCATATCCGTACTAAAGGATTTTACTGTCTTGAGACTTCATTTGCATTTACAGTAAAAATAATCTTCCACTTGGGAAGACCCTGCATAAAGAAATCTTTGAATGACATGGTTGCTCTGGTTGTCCACTGTACAAATATGCTACAGCTATGGCTTAAAATGAAGGAGTCATAATTTTATTTAAAACAAAAACTGGCCATATGAAGGCTCACATTGCATTTTGTAATTTGTAGGAGGTTATTTTTCTCAGTGCCATTTAAGTTTACAGGATTTGATTAGGCCATGCAGGCTAATTATTATGATTGTAGGGAAAAATGTTCTTTTCTGAAAGGTACTCTGTTTAGAAAGTTTTCAGAAAAATCAGGAATACTGTTTCAGGGACTGTGGACTTTTTTTGAACAGGTTTTGAGGTAAAAAGCTGAGGATAGATAGTAAAATTTGAATGTAAAATTGGTAGCAAATTATACTGACTGGAAATTCCTTATAAAATATGATTAACTTTGGTTTGATTTCACTAAGTTTTTAATTGAGTTATTTCACCTAGGAAATATTAAGCTTTGTGAAGAGACTTAATATAGCACTGGTACATGCAGTTTATGAGAGACTTTCTCAATTATTTTTCCTTAATACAGAAGTTTGAAAAAGAGTATTCTAAAATAGATCTCTTAGATCTATCTTCAAATTTTCGTAGTCACAGATGCCAAGCCTTTGGCATCTTCAGTGCTTTATAAAATGGCTTTACAGGCTAATTTATGACACCCTCCCCCTTTTTTTACAAAAAAAAAGTTTGCCCTGCAGCCAGCATTGCCTTGCTTAAAAAAGTGTTTACACACTGCACATTGTGAGAGTCTGTGTGACAAAAGAATAAAAATAAGAGAAAGATTACCAAAATGTATCATGAGTTTTGGTATGTCAGTTGTGTAAACATTGCATACGATGTGTGAACCCGTGGGTGGTGGTGGGTGCTGTCTCTGCTCGTTACACACAGAGCTTTCCTTCAAAGGAAAGGTGATATATGTGAGCGTTGTAATGGTGCTTTCCCAAACCACTCAAAACAGATTCCCCCATTTTGCGTGGGAAGGAAGACTGCTACGAGCACTTATGAAGTCATTAATATGCCTCTACAAATGGAAGCATGTTCTTGGATTTCTGTGTGTTAAGTGCAACTCTTTTCCTAGTAACATTCCTGCTAGCATGGTTCGCACTACTGCTGTCAGTCAGTAGGCTCTTTGTTGACCTGATGGCATGAGGTTTTGGGTTTTTTTCTTGCACTCTATTATATCTCTTGACATAATGAGCCACATTCATCCTTTGTGGAACTGTAATGGTTACAGTAGAGCCCTAAATCACACTCAGCAGGAGACACTCCCTGAAAGGGATATAGATTTTTCCATATGAATTAGGATTCAATAGTCATTTAGCCTGAGACTTTGGTTGGACCACCCTCCCTACAGAGATATATGCCTAAATGAGACACCTGGGCTCTCTTTGGCAAAAGACAGAGACACCTTAAATGGTTCCCTAAAGGTTGAGAAAAGTTCTAGGTTTGCCTCCAGTAGTTTTGCATTTGCTCCTTGTAAAAGCATTTGGCATTAGATGGGATTGGCTTTACCTCCAGACAGAGAAGAGCAAGGAATGATAAGGTGGCCTGAAAATTGCAGGTATGAATAAAAGCTACTTCAGCCTCATGTGGATTAACCCTCATGCTGAGTCACTGCCATGTAACAGCAGGACTCCTTTGTAGAAGATGGCAGTGCAGATGACAAATACCTAAACTTTTATCTTTCTAGATATCACCTGTGGCACTGACAAATTTCTAGGTAGCTTAAAGCATACTAAAACTTTTTTTCATAATTCTCAGTTGCTCCATATGTTTGATTAAAATGCCCAAATAAAGCTATCCAGGGAAAGCAGATGTACAGCTCCTACCACTCACTAAATTTGATTTCACAGTTTAAGTACACCATTCAGGCAAATAATATGATTCTATCTTTGCTTACATTGTGGGGCTGCATCAAGAAGTCCGCCAAGTACAACCAGTTCTATGCTTCCATTAGATAAAAATATTTTGCCTAGAGATGGACAAATAAACCAGTTTTGTTTTACTATTTTAACTTGCAGTTGGTTTAACATTATCTCAAATAATCAGGCCAGAGCTTAGAGAACATTCTTCAAAGGTACTCTCATGTATTTCTACCAAAATGATGTGAATTTGATCATGTGACATTTAAACTTCGTTGTTTCAAAACATAATCTTAAAACACACACACAGACATTCAGGCAAATAATATGATTCTATCTTTGCTTACATTGTGGGGCTGCATCAAGAAGTCCGCCAAGTACAACCAGTTCTATGCTTCCATTAGATAAAAATATTTTGCCTAGAGATGGACAAATAAACCAGTTTTGTTTTACTATTTTAACTTGCAGTTGGTTTAACATTATCTCAAATAATCAGGCCAGAGCTTAGAGAACATTCTTCAAAGGTACTCTCATGTATTTCTACCAAAATGATGTGAATTTGATCATGTGACATTTAAACTTCGTTGTTTCAACAGTGTTGTTCAACATCTTTGTTGGAGACCTGGACAGTGGGATAGAGTACACCCTCAGCAAGTTTGCTGATGACACCAAGGTGTGTTGGGCGGTCAACACACCAGAGGAAAGGGATAGCATCCAGAGGGACCTGGACAGGCTGGAGAGGTGGGCCCATGCAAGTGTCATGAAATTCATCCATGTCAAGTGCAAGGTCCTGCACAGGGGACATGGCAATCCCAGGCACAAATAGAGGTTGGGCAGAGAATGGCTGGAGAGCAGCCCTGGGGATAAGGACTTGGGGGTGTTGGTGGATGAGAAGCTCAACGTGAGCCGGCAGTGTGCACTGGCAGCCCAGAAAGCCACCCTCATCTTGGGCTGCATCAAGAGAAGAGTGGCCAGCAGGTCCAGGGAGGTGATTCTGCCCCTCTGCTCTGCTCTGGTGAGACCCCACCTGGAGCACTGTGTCCAGCTCTGGGGCCTCAGCACAAGAAGGACATGGACCTCTTGGAACAAATCCAGCAGAGGGCCACAAAAATTATCAGAGGGCTGGAGTACATGTCCTGTGAGGATAGGCTGAGAGAGTTGGGGTTGTTCAGCCTGGAGAAGAGAAGGCTTCAGGGAGACCTTATAGTGGCCTTCTAGTATCTGAAGTGGACCTAGAGGAGAGATGAGGAGGAAATCCCTATCAGGGAGCGTAGTGATAGGATGAGGGGTAACAGTTTTAAACTGAAAGAGGGGAGAGTTGGATTAGATATTAGGAAAAAATTCTTTCCTGTGAGGGTGGTGAGAACTTGGCCCGGGTTGCCCAGAGAAGTTGTGGATGCTCCACCTCTGGATCCCAAGGCCAGGCTTGATGGAGCTTTGAGCAACCTGGTCTGGTGGGAGGTGTCCCTGCCCAGGGCAGGGGGGTTGGAACGTGATCTTTAAGGTCCCTTCCAACTCTAACCATTCTATGATTCTGTGAAATCAACTTGAAATGAAATCTCATGAGAACAACCTTGTAAGATAGAAATCTAAAGCCTTGAGAACAAATCTCAAGAGCTGGACTTTTTTTCATTTGATCCTGAACTAGGCACCAGAATGGCTTTGGATAGGGGAAAGCAGCATCTTTATTTCTTGTCTTCTTCTAGGATTTGAATGGTTGTAGGTTCTATACAGCTATGTGGAAATTAGGTACATATGTATATTTGTATCCAGCCTCAAGGCACAACACAGTTCTCAAATGAGTTGTCAGCAGGCAATCCTTCTTACCTGTAAGATGGAGAAATGAATTTCTGATCTGCAATTCTTATCAAAGTTTAAAGGGGGCATCAATGTCTATAGTCCTCACCATTGTACATTAAGGGCATGAGTTCCTACACATGCATGTAGTTCCCCTGTATGTTGAATACTTAGAATTTGTGAAATGGCCCTTTGTAACTGTGCTTCTGGCTTGTGTTACTTAGAATTTGTGAAATGGCCCTTTGTAAGATCTCCACAAACTGTGCTTCTGAGAAATTGAATAGACCATGTGGTATTGTCCACGAGTATGTGGATCTTTCTTTTTTTATTTCCCACTTTCTTTTTTTTTTGTTTTGTTTTTTGGTGGGTTTTTTTTTTGTTCAAAGGAATGTTTTGCTTCCACAGTTGACAAAATCCCCAAGAAAAAAACATGCATTAGTTTGCAGGACATGCATAATCACTAAAGAAATGTTTGGCCTGTTGACATGTTTCCTACATAAACAAAAATATTCCTGACAGCATCCTCATGTGGTGGCATCAGGCAATCTGAATTCATTGAGCATTTAGTTTGGCCATGGAAGCCTGTATGACACTATGTAGTTATCTTCTCCTGGACCCAGACCACTTCTTAAGAACTTATTTTTACCATGAGCGGAGAGAAGGAGAGCCCAAGAGCAGAAACAGATGCAATGGGGCCCTGGGGTGGCACACGTGCATGTCCACTTTCTAGTAGGCAGGGCCCATCCTTGCTGCCACTGATTGATAGACTCAAAAGTTGGGAACAGGAACAATTGGGACTATCTCACAGTGCTGCCACAGCCCTGCCCAAAGAGCTGTTCTGGCATCAGGGTTTGCTCTTGAAGACTGGTGCGTCTCTTCCCACCATGCACACACTGTCTGTGTGTCTCCTGACAGGTTTTGATTATTAAATTGTTTTAAATTGCTTTGGGTCCCTCTGTCTGGCTGCAATGAGTACATGAGCAAAGAGGGACAAGCTCTCAGCATCCTCGATTGCTTTTCTTTTCCCTCTCTAAACCTATGTGGAAGGCACAGACAGACCTGTCCTTCCTTCTGTCACGTGTCCTCTGCAGGGCTCTATAGTGTGAGTAGGTCCCTTATTTGCACCAACTCACTTACAAATGTGTAAAGAAGAAATCAGACATCATCATCTGGATGTAGGCGTCTTGCAGCCACCTTCTGAACACAGAACTCACCTGGAACAGCTCAGGTGCCAAGGGGAGCTTCATTTGGCTCCTTCCACCTTAACTCAGCAGGCAGCCTTGGCTCCTTCACCAGAAAATATGCACCTTTACACATATCCTGGTCCTATCCTAGCCTTGTTACAGCTGCTTCCTGGGCAAACCTTGTGAATAAAGCAAGGCAACCTGCCTGCTGCAGTCAGAGTAGAAAATAGATGCCTTAAAAGTAGAAAGTCTGAGTGTTCCTGCCTTGCTTTCCAAACTTTTATGAGTTTTACTAGATGTTCAATGTTTCTCTATTGGAGTGACATCTGCCAGGGCACAGAAGGCAGCCTCATGCTACTGCACAGAGTTTCTTTCTTCTTCAGTTATTTGGGCACTAGGCTGCTCTTTCCAGGAATTCTTGTCAGATTAGTCTGATTTTTAATTTTTTAATGCACATTTAAAACTTAGGAAACAGTTAGCTATTTGAAAGCCCAATCCACGTGCCTTCCTCCACCCAAAACTTTTGCTGCTAGTAATTGTCTAGAGACAGTTTTTCTCTCACAGACAGTGCATTCTGGGCACTAGTTCAAAACCCTGGCCGGGCTGTGGCCTGACTCCCACTACCTCCCATACACTTCTAAAAAAATTAATAACAACAGTCAAACTTTGATTGATGAGGGGGAACAAAAAAAAAAAAAAGGTACATTTGCACAGTTCTAGTCACAAAGTTTTCCTGTCTTTGGAGATAATAAAAAATACAAAGCCTTCCTACATTATTTCCTTGAGGTACAAACTAGCCCTTGCACGTGCCAACCCTTTGTAGTGAGATAAGAAGTCCTGATACTGGTTCCCACTCTGCTGGCTTGTATTACTTGCTTGTGAACTGTCCCACCATCCTGCAGTTAAAGTTAGTTGAAGTATTTGTGGCTAAAGCCCTCTCCTCCCCAGGACCCCAGCCCATGCATCCCGGCCTCAGTGGGGTCCCACCCCAGCTTTCCCCACAGGGGACCATTCCCAGCCCTCTTTCCACCGAGTGGGGACCCTAAGCTTTCCTGCTGTTCCCCACGGGTGACGTGGGCAACTCGCCTTGTTGGTGGATACTAAGGGAGGGGGGAAAAAAAAAAACAAAAAGACGGAGAAAAAGACAAGAGCAAAGCAAGAAGCCAGCCAGGCAAGAGGGAGGCAAGCGGATGAAGTACTTACGGAGGGGAGCGAGGCGATGGGGGGTACAATCTGGTGCTGGAGCAGGACCGGTCCAAGCTGGGGCTGCTGCTGATGCTGCCGCCGCCTTATCTCGGGAGCAGCAGGTCCGTTGAGATGGCAACACTGTGCTCAGGCGTCCTCCGGGGGGCTGGGGAAGAGCATCACCCACTCCCTTGCCCTTTTGGCGGGGTTCAGCCCTGTTTCCTTCCTTTTCAGCAGGTTTCTGAGGCCGAAAGGAGAGGGAACGGGACAGGGAAGACCAGCAGTGCCTCAAGGCAAAGGCATCTTTCCTGCCAGAGGACCAAGAGCCGCAGAGGCTGCTGCTCTCAGAGAAGCAGGGGAGGATGTAAAATCTTCAGCAAAACGAGCCAAAAGGCAAGCTGCAGCCGCCGTGTGAAGAGGCACAGGGAGAACGGCAAGGGGAGGGAGCAAGGCTGATGCCGGCTGGGACCCAGGGGAGAGCTGAGGATAAAAATGGAAGGAGGAGGCAGGGCGTGTGTTGACGAGCAGCACCATAAGCACTCACAGCGATGGACACCGTCTCCAGCACTGAAGTTCAGCAATGACTGCAGTGTTTGTGTATGTATCTGGCCACAACTAGTTATAGGAGTGTGGTATTTATGGGGCCAGGCAGGGAGTCTTCTCTGACTGCCAGCTGTTTGCCAGTAGAGACCAATCTCTCCTATTTTAACCCATGCCTTTGGATGGAGCTGCTATTTCAACTGAGGGAAAAACATACAAACATGCCTGATGTTTGAGAACCTCTGGGAGAAACATTCAGTGGTGGGATTATGAACTTCCCCTCTCTTAGTATTCAGCTACAACAAAAATGCCTTTGTTTATTAAACGTCTTTAAAAACTGTGACTGCTCACAGTTGCAATTATCTCTTCTTTCTCTTTTTCCCCACTCAGCAACTGCAATTCAACAGCACCAGCATGCACTGCATACTTTAAATTAGTCAAGGTTTCTTTCACAAATAATATAAGGTACAGGAGCATCAAGGGGACAAAGTGTTTTTTCCCAGTGCTGCAAACAGTACAGCACCCTTGGACCCTGCACATTTCGGGTGTAATTCTGCAAAGTGTAAAAGTGATGCGTGTTCAGGTGTCTCGGTGACCCATTTCTAAAAGCAGGCTTATAAGTGCTTAAATTGCCCCTGAAGAAATGGAGCATAAGCTCCTAAGTACATTTAGAAATTTTTTGCAAGATTAAGATTTCTAACTGAAAAGGAAAAAAAACCTAAAAAAACCCTGAACTCCTCCAAACCATACAAGCCTCCAACTGCTCATAAAAAGGAAATTGTTTTTATGAGTTGTCCATTTCCATGTAACTTCAATTTTAATTTTAACTTTGTCAAGACCTCTCTGTTACAGTGAGTTTTAAATAAAACTCCCTCTATTTTCACACTGAAATGCCTTTTGCTTAGAAACACAAGTTATTTAGAATCACAGAATGGTTAGAGTTGGCAGGGAGCTTAAAGATCATCAAGTTCTGACCCCCTGCCCTGGGCAGGGACACCTCCCACCAGACCAGGTTGCTCCAAGCCCCATCCAGCCTGGCCTTGAACCCCTCCAGGGATGGGGCAGCCACAGCTTCTCTGGGCAACCTGGGCCAGGCTCTCACCACCCTCACAGCAGAGAATTTCTTCCTAGTATCTAATCTAAATCTCCCCTCTTCCCATTTAAAAACATTGCCCCTAGTCCTATCACTACATTTCCTAATCAAGAGTCCCTCCCCATCTCTCCTGTAGCCCCTTCAGGTACTGGAAGGCCAATATAAGGTCTTCCTGGAGCCTTCTCTTCTCCAGGCTGAACAACCCCAGCTCTCTCAGCCTGTCTTCACAGAAGAGGTGCTCCAACCCTCCAAGCATTTTTGTGTCCCTCCGCTGGACCTGTTCCAACAGGTCCATGCCCCATTTCATATTCTCCTGTGAACTCAGAAGAATCAGAATGAGACCACTGAAAAATGGGCTCACAGAACGGAATGCTCGAATTAGAAATATATTTTGAAACTCAGCTCAAGATTGCCTTTTTATGTTTTCACTGTCCTGACTGAAAAAGTCAGTCAGTCATTTATAGCACTGGAAAAATTCCCCAAGGATGAGAAAATTCCTGTTCTAGCCACCAGATACCAGGGGTGCCTTGGGAATATTACAGGACAGCTTTAACGGTGAGGAAAGTGGCCTGTTACACTCAGCAAGACCAAACATCCAACACGGCTGGTACCGCACGATGCCACGACGCATTTTACTGCAGCAGCAGATTTATCCCAGTCTTTCCAGAGGGGCTGTCACATTACCAGTGTACTCCCAAATCTGATCTTTTATATGTCCACAGTTGTTGTCCTGCTTGTAAGAGGTTTGGGACTCCTTCCAGCTTTCTAATCCCTCCTGCTCAGATATTTCACAAACACAGCCTGGAAAATAGTCTGAGTCCGTAATAAATCTGCCCTTTTACCCTCTTCCCTTGTACAAGAGTATTCCCATCAGCACTTGGGGAACTATTCATGTAATTAAAGATAAGCACATGTCTAAAAGTTTCCAGGCTAGTGCTCTAGAAGACAGGCGATGCAGCTTTGACAGATGGGAAAGGGGAAGACAATCTAATGGAAACCAGATAAATACACAAACACATACACACATATATATACACACACACACATGCATATATAACTATTACCTACCTGTCCATGTTATTTTTATATTTGTTTCTGGCTTGGTTTGTAATTCAAGGGTCAAATTTTCAAATATCCAGAGGGCAGTCAGAGCTTGGCCTTCCTTTGATGTTTTTTTCCTGTTAGAACTTTCTTTTTGTATATGGAAAAGTTGGCTTACTCTAACTTTTCAGCACAGCACGAGGGCACAATTTCTTGAAAGATGCATGGTGCTCTTGATGTTATGTTTGCTGGTCAATAGTGGCTCTGCAGTTGGTTTCTCAGTGCAAGCACAGCTGGCTTCTCGACACCGCAGTAACTAGTGAAGATTATTTCCCAGCTGTAATTTTGCTCGCAGTGAACTCACTTTGAATTTGTTCAAATTCAAGGCCAAAATCAGATCTCACTCATGGCAGGCAGTGCCAGTCCAGTATCAATCAGTTAAAACACTGGATTTACAGAAGGGGAGGCCAGAAAAAGTTGTGTTCCTTACAGATTACTGGTACCACGCTCATTCTGGCATAAGTGAGCCTGCGATTTGGGCCAGACCATATGTGATAAGGGAAAAAGGACTGATGTGATGGGTTTAGAAGGCTGTTTTTTGAGGAAGTCCCGGTAGAACAAGACTATTGATATGCCTAAATTTGTAATACATGGGGGGATTGTTTGTTTGTTTATATAGAAGTCTTGCATTGAATAAAAATCCCACTTTTGGGATGGGAAGAGAATTACTCCAGGTAGTTCCCCCAGACTAGCAAACCTCAGACTCCATGGGGCATGTAAAACACCTGTGCTTTCTTGTCTGCTCTCCTCTGTACCATCATTAAAGTAGTTCTACTGTGATGGATTTCTATGCTGGTCCTCTTTAAAAGCCTAAAGGCAACATTGTTGTCATCTCTGCATATTCCATATCTATTGCAGGAGACCGTAAAAAGCATTAAAAGCTAATATACAATCAAAGGTATATATGGAGATATTTCATTGTGATTTTGTGAGGGATTTGTATTCAACTGCTTAATTGAATTACAGCTTGTTCAGATTTGACTTTCAACCCTTGGCACTATTTTCAGATGAAATAAGAAGTACCGATAAAGTGGAATTGAAGGGTGATTTCATTTTAACATGTCTCAGGCATCTGAAAACTGTTAATTATCCAGCCTCAAGTGGCTTCTCTATGCAGTAACATGTGGTTAGATCTAAGATAATACTCCCTCTAGATACGCAAACACAGGGCTCACACTATTCTGATGTGCTTAAGCTCGGCTTCAGCCTGGGCTGCTTATTTCTGTGTAAAAGTGTCCTGCCCAGTACAGAAAGTTTAGCCCAGGTTTATGCTAACCCCTAAGGTGCTGCACGCTTGTGCATGCCCAAAGTAAATTTATACATGGAGAATTAAGGAATTGTATCTTGTGAGGACCAATTTATTGATTTGGTCGCTTTATAAATGTTGTTATAGGTTACTTTGCAGCCAGATCAATAGATCAATGTGCAGTGTTGGTTTTTTATCAAACAGATTTCTTGATGTACAGTTTTTGGTCATTTTCCCTTTAAGTTGTGGAGGTCAAAAGCGCACTAGATTGAAACCTACACTCAGTATGCCCAACTTTTCAGACAAACGAATATAAACGTTTACATTTTCCCTTGTATATAATAGAATATGCATATAAGGAGCATAAGTTGCATTTATCATGGACCGAACATATAGATAGCTCCCATTTTTTAAACAGAAGGCTTACTTGAGGAAAATCATTGCTACGTCCTGGAAGACAGCACGTTTGTCCCAGTTCCAAGAGGGAAACCATCTGTGTTTGTTGTACTGCTGAGTGAAGCCTTCAAGGCTGGAGCAGTCTCTAAGGCCCAGAGGAGTCTGGGATTTTTATCTACCATGACAGATGGCTCTCATGCAAATGTTTTTCCTGCTGCCCCTGCAAAGGTTAGGGGGATTACAAAGGAGACATAAAAGGCTGGAAGAGAATAACCCCATTTAGAGTGGTGAAGGGAGTGCCTCTGGCAAGAGTCAGTGTCACATCTAGGCTCCTTGTGCAAAGCCAAGGGAAAAAAGTATCACACTATGTTGACATGAAAATTATTGTAGATTAGCCTTTGCTTTTGCATTCAGACAGATAATTTAACATTTTCTGATGTATCTACTCTATAAACGAGTCTTCCTGCTTGCTCCAGGAGGAGTAAGCTAGGAGAAAACAAGGAAAGAAGAATATGTGGCTTTAAATAAAGGAGAAAATTTTTCAAATTTTGTGCTCCTACAGACTCCAGGCCACAGTTTTCATCAATCCTTATGTCAGAGGGCTTGCGGGGGGGGTGTTACATTTAGGGAAAGACAGATGTAAAAATCCAGAAAATGGCAGATGGTAGTGGAAAACTATATTCCAGGGAGACCTGGGACAAAGCAGTAGCAAATGACCTCTGGCCCATGTAACTTGTTCTTCTCCTTAAATGCATTGCTCCTATGTGGTATGGAACAAGGTGGGATGAAAGCTGCCCTTTCTCTGACGGAAGTTTCTCTCCCTCCCTTTCCAGGGGCATTAGATCTGTTTCTCCTTTTCCTGTAGTACCCAATGCCATTCTTGACCCTACCCTCTAGTGTCTTTCTCTAGTAAATTAGGTGCAAGAATCAGTGTCTTCTCCATGCATTGACACACAGGGTATTTCTGCTAAAACACTACAAATTTGACAAGATTACAGCATTTCTATGTATCCAAGCATTATTTTTTAAATATCACCCCAGCCCTTCTGCACTTATAGCTTAAAATATTAAATATCTTCTAAAACACTGCTTGCTTTGTTCTCCTTTCTAATCCCCTCCACGTTGGCTGTTTTGTTTTACTAAAATCTGAGAAGAATACAACTTTTCTGATGGGAAGTTACAGGCAAGGGGTGTGAGAAA